ACATTCTCAAAGAAACAAAGTTTAATCTCTGATTATAGTAAGGCGTTGTTTAATTCTTTCAATGGGGTTTAAAGTTCTTGAGAAAGTCAGAGGACACACACTTTACTCACTACACTAATAACATTATGTTTATTATTTCTGAGTATATAAAAGATTCCATGCATCTTCATAATTTTAAGCAAAAAGGACGGAGCTTCTACGGAATTGCTTGCTTTATATTGTCTCTGGCACATACAAGCCTTAGAACTCTGTTTATAGACATAAACAGTTGGAAATTGAGAGTTGCTCAAGCAGAATTCTACATAATCACCCATTTGGGGTTAATTTTCTTTATTGTGCCTGCTAAAGTGAGCTCAGCTGAACTTGCCATTTTCAACTCCGATCTGTTTTCTAAATGCTTTTAGTTTCACAGGCCAGACATTTTACTGCAAATCTTCTGAATCATGTGGTTTGTACTCCCTGGCTAATTTATCAAAAGAATGTGAATTACTTTTGAACCTACACTACAATTTAAAACTTAAAGTTTGATAAATGGAAGACTACAAACTTGAGTAATAGGAATATTGGATGGAGGTTAATAGTTATCTCATTGTTTTATTCATCAAATATTTTTTAATACTTGGTGCAAAGTACTGTGCTAAATTTTGGGTTTACTTACATGTTTATTAAATAAACCCACGGAGTTTTAAAGTTATACAAAACTAAGGAGCGATAGCACAGCGAGTGGGGTGTTTGCCTTGCAGGCAGCCAGCCCGGCCTAGCCAGGTTCGATTCCTCCGCCCCTCTCGGAGAGCCCGGCAAGCTACCAAGAGTATCTCGCCCGCACGACAAAGCCTGGCAAACTACCTGTGACATATTCGATATGCCAAACACAGTGACAACAAAGTCTCAAAAAATGGAGACGTTACTGGGCCTGCTCAAGAAAAGAAAATCAATGAACAACGGGAGGACAGTGACAGTGATAATAGATAAGAGTCAGTAAGAATATGGCACAATGAAAATGATCTCAATATCCAACAATTCTAGTCAAAATCTCAATCAAAATTAAAATATATTTATTTATTCCTATGCTCATTAAATGCTTGTCACCTATAAGAACTTTTACAATTTCTTTTTTTCCAACCAGGGATTAATTCTATTTTTCTTAGTTCTAAAGATATTGTTTTTCTGAATCTTTGGACAATGGATTTCCTTAGATTCTCCACATTTTCCTAGACATTCTTTTATTCTGTTTCATTATTTCCTATAGAACATTTCTTGATTAACTGATCTGTATTAACCTTGTACTAATTGGAGGGATACAAGATAGAGACTAGAGTGAATAATATCTTGGTGGAACAGAGACAACCAAAAGAAAGTTGCTAGAATACTATAATATGATACTATGCAATATCTATTTAAGAAAGTAGTTACTTGCACCAATCCAACATGGGCATGTTGATTTTAAACACATGAAGGCAATTAAGCTAAGGGCTCAATAAGAGTATATACTATTTAAGTATTTTACTTATCAGACACTTTCTATTATCTAGGTACTTGAATTTATTCATCTAATAATTTTAACAACCCAGTACAGTAGATACTTATAACTCACTTTACAGAAGAATAAAGAGAGGGCCTGGGCAGTAGCACAGAGCACAGGCTACTTGCCTTGTGTGTGACCTACTGAGGGATGATCACTAGCATCCCACGCGGTCCCCAAGTCCTCCAGAAATGATCTCTGAGTGCAGAACCAGGGGTGAGCCTGAAGCACCTCAGGGTGTGTTAAAAATATAATTGAAGAGAAATACAGAAATTTAACTTACAAAATTCGTGTATTATTTGAGTGGTGTGGTCAGATCCAAATACCCATGAACACTAAATATGGAGTATGTTTCTGACTTTTTTTTTTCTTTTTGGGTCACACCCGGTGATGCTCAGGGGTTACTCCTGGCTCTACACTCAGGAATGACTCCTGGCGGTGCTCAGGGGACCATATGGGATGCTGGGATTTGAACCCGGGTTGGCTGCGTGCCAGGCAAACACCCTACCGGCTGTGCTATCACTCCAGCCCCTGTGTTTGACTTGTTGACACTATATCGTTAGCATATATTTTCTTCCAGCTTATAAAATTCATCTCACACCCTCTGATCTCTAGGTCTTTATTTCCTTGCTTTCCTAGCTCTCTCTTTCTCTCTCTTTCTCTCCTGGGTTCTCTCCATTTGCTGTGATACTGTGCGGGATCACAGCTGTTCTCGTGCCTAAGGGTTGCAGGTTTGGGCCCCAGGGTCACGGGAGCAGCTGGAAATCACTCTAGGGTGTGGCACAGCCCAAACTCACTTCAGGAGCTCGTGTGCAAGCTGGAGCACTGTATCTGGGCAACATCCTGGCTGTTGTATATACTGGGGGAATATTTCCTTTATTCACAGTCAAGCTCAGCCACAAGACTTTGCCCATAAAAATGAAGGAGACCTAACTTAGGACAGTTCAGAACTGCCATATTTGAAATATTAAGACTTTATATATGTTTTTCTGGCCTTCTGACCTTTCCATGGGCCTACAGTTGCCTGATGCAAATTATTCACTTTTTTTTTTTTTTTTTTTTTGCTTTTTGGGTCACACTCGGCGATGCACAGGGGTTACTCCTGGCTCATGCACTCAGAAATCACTCCTGGCAGTGCTCATGGGACTCTATGGGATGCTGGAAATCAAAACCGGAATGGCCACGTGCAAGGCAAACGCCCTACCCGCTGTACTATCGCTCTAGCCCCTATTTATTTACTTTTAAGCTTAGAAACAAAATCTCCTCTTCTCCTTGAAATAAAATGAGACGCTCAGGCACAGTCTATCCTAACCACTGACTCGGGAGTAAGACAAACTGTTGTCACAGGGGTCGGAAAGACTAAGTCTAGAGGGTCGAGCGCTGGCCTTGCGTGAAGCTGACCCTGGTTCAATTCCTGCCCCCCCCCACCTGCACCCCCAACCCCTGCCTGGAACCAGCTCAGAGCACAGCCGGATGTGGCCCCCCAAATGAACCCACAGAACCCGAGGAAACCATCTGTTATTACAACTACATCCTTTGAGGTTACTCTCTACAAGAGAATAACCTGGCAAGAAATGGGTGATACGGTTCATAGCTAGTCAGAAGCCAGATGCAACAGTAACTGTTACCCTCAATGATGTGATATTAGTGCCACGGCCAGGTGGAGAATATTAAAGAAGCTGTTGCTCAGATCAGGAAATCAGCATCCATGCTTTATAGTGGTAAACATTTGTTCTCTTTATTTAAATTGAATAACAGAACAAGCGTTGCACTTATAAGGAAAGAACTGTCATCTTTGAGAAGAAAATAGGGCAGAGGAAAATGAAATTATGAGACATGCAGAAATTTCAATAAAAATGCAACCATTGCTCATATCCAAGGGTAGAAGATGACCTCCAAAATATTTGAATAAGGAGTCACAGACTGAATACGCAACTGAGTCCTAGAATTGAACGGCCCTAGCATCACTGGGTGCGGGCTATAGGCAGCCTCAGGGCACCACAGAGCACCACTAGGACACCACTTACCCCAAAGTGAATAATATAGCTTGACTATGACACAAACTAAAACTCATCCTCAGATAATTACCTACTGAAAGCTTTGTGAAAATCTTTACGTTAAGGTGGCCCCAGTAAATATTTTAAAAATGTCAAAGAAAACCAATTGAGGAAATGTGCAGCTTTTCAAAATCATCACTCAAACTCAGTAGATCTCCAAAAGTAAATCTTGGAACTTATACTTCCCTTCTTTTTCTCTAGATAGAGAAGTAGCTCAAAAATTTGTGGCAGTTTAGAGATGCATTAATGTTTATGCAAAGGACTACCTTTTGTCAATAAACTCATGTGACTTCTTTCATATGCTGTAACATGAGTTTATTGGTGATTTCCCTCAAATAATCAAAGTTCAGCTTAAATGTTACTTGCTCTGAGAATTTCAGTTCCTTCTACTCTGCCTTCCTCTGTTCGCTGTGCCTTCATTTTTTAAGGTAATTATTCTGCACCCAATGGTGCTTTCTCTAAACCCCTTCAATAATAGCTCTGACTAGAAATCTTAGCTTTTTCACCAGACATGTATGCAAAGGATATATGATGAATGTTTGATATGTGCATCCGAGTTAATTATAAAACATTCTCTGAGATAACAAATTTTTCTAACAAACTTCAGTACTCAGCTTTACACAATTTCTAAATTGCTAAACTTTACCTGATTATTCTACTGTTCTGAAGTAAAAAGATCACCGAAGCTGGAGATTTAGCTTATAGGTTAAAAATATATTATCACATAAATATCATAAAAATATAACGTTCTAGGTTTATAGTTGCAGGCAACATTAAAGAAATTTGCATTTGTTCTTACAAGAAATAAAATATAAGTTGCAGGCAAAAATTAAATTAATTAGGAACCGAGGTTTAAAATTCAAAGGAAATCTATAAAACATATTCTTTAAAAACCTTACCTAGACATGACTTAATGCCTCATTATATTAAAACACAGTCCTTTGCTAAGTATATCATATTTGCTTGCCCTTTCCTTCCTTCCCTCCCTTTCTCCTCCCCTCCCCCTCCTCCCTTCCTCCCTCCCTCCCTCCTTTCCTCCCTCCCTCCATCCATCCCTCCCTCCTTCCTTCCTTCCTTCCTTCCTTCCTTCCTTCCTTCCTTCCTTCCTTCCTTCCTCCCTCCCTCCCTCCCTGCCCTCCTGCCCTCCTCTATCTCTCTGGCCTCACTCGTAGGATTCCTTCCTTTTACTTGTATTGTTTTGGTTTGGGGCCAGACTTGAACATGCTCAGGGCTTACTCCTGGTGTTATGCTTGGGGATCACTCCTGGAAGTGCTCAGATAAGCCTACAGGAGCTGGGGCACTGCACATGAGTTGGCTGTGTACAAGGTGGGTGCCCCCAGCCCTGTACTCTCTCTGGCCCTTACCTTTTATTTTTAAGCACTTCCTATACAAGGTGTAACAAATTATTTAAAACTACTTACCTGCCTGCACCATAGTTTTCTAAATATTTGTAGATAGGCCAATACCATAAGACACAGGGGGGCCATGTATGTAACCAGAAAGAAACAGATGTGATACATCTTCGGGTAAATTTCACCTGCAATAAAAGCCAAAGTGATACAATTTAGGAGTTACGGATTTTTAAAAATATGTCAATATTTTTGCTTCACTGTACTTATTCATCTTCTATATGATTTTCACTGGCAAATTATATACGCAAAAGTAAAGCTTACATACGTAACGACTTAAATTGATTCTGTGTGTGTGAGAATGTGAAGACCTCACTTCAGTTAGCATGCTCAGAGATAAACGGCAATTACCTATTTCTAAACTTATGCTGCCACAATCTATCCAAAGTTAAATTTTCATTTATAAAACAGTCATTTTTTTGTCTTTATTAATTAAACCTGGCTAATCAATATGATTTCATTTGGATTGTCCTAACCAGGCATTTATATGAAGGGGAATGGATCAATCAAAACCTAATCTCTACTGTCTTTGTTAAAATTGTAAGAGAATGAATGAGCTTAATTGATTCTTTCTGGGGCGATAGAACAGCGGGTAGGGCGTCTGCCTTGCACACGGCCTACAGGGGTTTGATTCCTCCACCACTCTCCCAGAGCTGGGCAAGCTAATGAGAGTATCTCACCTGCTTGGCAAGCCTGGCAAGCTACGCGGGATGTATTCAATATGCCAAAAACAGTAACAACTGTCCTCCGGTTGTTTATCGATTAGTTTGAAGGGGGGGCGGGGAGTCCAGTAACTTCTCCACTGTGAGACTTGTTGATACTGTGTTTGGCATATCAAATCGGTAACAACAAGTCTCGCAATTTCTTGTGAGACGTTACTGGTGCCTGTTAGGGCACGGTTCTCAATCTCCTCATGTGGGAGCAAAGAAACTGGTCAGAGAATAATGCAATGGGCAAACGAGGTTTATTTATTGTTTTAGCCAGGCTAGGGTCAGGCTCCATCTAGGTCCTGCAGGACCAGAATTCTGACCAGGAATCCCAGTCTCTTTAAGGAAGATCTTATATAGGCCTTACCGGCCCTTGGGGCAAAACCCAGCAGTATGTAGCCAATGAATTTGTCACACACAAAGGCCAGTACATCACTATTAAGCAAGCCACAACATGTTGGGAACATTAAACCGTGGGTAATCTTTCTTAACCACCCGTATCCTGCGTTATCAGTCACCGAGGCACCTGATATAGGTGCCCGGTCCCAGGGAGAATTACAAGTCATTTTAAAAGCATGGGGTGAAAAGGATCCGAGAAAAACAAGTTAAGATCTAAGAAAGAAAAACAAGTTCTTAATCTAGGAATTCTTAATCTAGGAAAAACAGGTTAGTTCCCGTAAATTGGTCAGCGTTCATCTGGTTCAGGGCCTCGTTCCTCACAGTGCCCACTGGAGCAAATTGATGAACGATGGGAGGACAGGGACAGTGACAGTGATTCTTCCTTATTACACTCTTCCTGAGGAACGGGAAGTTTTCCCTAGTTGTACCTCCAAATATAAATGTGGAAAATTTGGGGGGAAATACAGTAAAAATTTGGGAATCATTTTTAAGTTACTGGCTGGAGCGATAGCACAGCGGTAGGGCGTTTGCCTTGCACGCAGCCAACATGGTCAACCCGAGTTCGATTCCTCCGCCCCTCTCGGAGAGCCCAGCAAGCTACCGAGAGTATCTCGCCTGCACGGCAGAGCCTGGCAAGCTCCCCGTGACGTATTCGATATGCCAGACACAGTAACAACAAAGTCTCCAATGGAGACGTTACTGGGCCCGCTCGAGCAAATCGATGATCAACAGGAGGGCCTTTACTTTTTTACTTTACTTTTAAGTTACTAGATTATGTACAAAATCCCCTTAAATTTTTTGCCTTTGTGTATTTCTATGTGCACATGCACGTTTTAAGAACATTAGATTTTGAATGTTAGTTTTTAGATAATATGTGTACTTTTTCTTTTCCTCATCCAATCTTATTAGTCCTGAGCACCTTTAGGAATGTATTATTTCTTTGCTCGAGCGGGCCCAGTAACGTCTCCATTGGAGACTTTGTTGTTACTGTGTCTGGCATATCCAATACTCTCGGTAGCTTGCGGGGCTCTCCGAGAGGGGCGGAGGAATCGAACTCGGGTCGGCCATGTTGGCCGCTTGTAAGGCGAACGCCCTATCGCTGTGCTATCGCTCCTGCCCTTATTTACCATTAATTCTGCATACATGGGTGATATATATAACAGATAATTTATTAAGGAGTCAAATAATTGCATTATAATCACAATATGAATGTTTCATTTTTCTAAAGCACACATTATTTTTAAATTGCTTCTTAAGTCTAAAGAATTATTTTTTGTACTAATGATGCAGTAATTTTCACTAAAATTTAAAACAGGAAACAATATATGACGTTAAATAGGTTCCATGTGTATTAAATGCAATAACATGAAATAATTCAGCTGAATGTTAACCACTAGAAAGCAAGCACTTTTTAAATATATTAACATACGTATATACTTTATTTTGATTTTGATAATAGCAGTTGGTTTGGTTCATACTATTACTGAAGAATAACACATTCATACTTATAAATTATTTTCATCATTTTAGAAAGGGCACAAAGAAACATGAAGACTAGTCTATATGGTCAAATTTTTGCTGGAAACAATTTATAGTTAGATTTAATTGTAATGATTATGATGATAATCATACTTAACTTTATTATTTTTGTAAAAAATATTTAAAACATGTTGTGAATATTCTCCATGAGCTTGATTCCATAGCCTCTCCTTCTAGATTATTTTAGTCAAATATTCTCTTTCCTTCTAAAACTTCTTCAACAGGAGTTTGAGAACTGGATTCCAGCCGGAACTTTGTCACTGGGATGGGGAAGGTGAAGGTCTTGGAAGGCACAATATGATGTTGGTGGAGGAAAGTGGTTTCTCTGGAGGAGGGGATTCTGAAAGATGGTAGAATCTGTGTACCATAAGGCAGGCTGGGTGGGGACAGTGGTGTAGCTGGGGACATTGGTGGAGGGAACTGGACACTAGTGAAGGAATGGGTGTTGGAGTGTTAGAGATTTGAAGTCCAATCATGAATAACTTGGTAATTTTGTAATTCATGGTGATTCAATAAAAAACAAAATATTTAAAAAAACAAGCCCTCTACTTTCTCAGATGGTTTTTCTCCTTGGCAGGGACTACAGGATGCTTGGGGAGATAGGAGGTTCTGGAGTCCCCTTTGAGGGTCATTATTAGAGTCTCTGTGACCTAACTGGCACATACCTAGCTCACCAGTTTCTAACTTCCTTTCAAATTCATCCTGTGAAACAGGCCCATTACATAAAAAGCGCCAGAATCTGAGAAGCCTGCCTGTAGGAATAACAAACAGCTCTGGCTTTGATGTGCATCAGACAGAGCCATGGTTTGTGGGCCAGTTTCAAAGGCTCTGGAAAGTGACCTCAGCACCTGAGTTACTTTGAACTTTTATTTGTTTTGAAGAAAGTGTCACATGAGCTTCCCATATAAAGATACACCTTTGAAGTTTACATATCTGTGAAGCCCTAATGTCTGCATACTGAAGGAAGGCAGGCTTGATAGTTAAGTTTTTTTTCTTTAAACTGCAGCTAAAGGATATAATCACTGTGATAACAGTTGGAATTTTAAACATTCCAGAGAGAAAACTGATTCAGTGATTAGTCTACTTAGAAGTTGTTAGAGAAACATGTAGTTGTCTAGTAAATGCATATTATAGTAATGAACACTTGCAAAGACTAAAGTTGATCAGGCAAAATTACACTTTCAGGCTAGAATAGATTATTTTAATAAAGTGACTACTATAGATCATTGAAGAAGCATGCATTTTATGTTTATTAAAAAAGCTGAAATGTCCCTGAAATTTGAAATTATATATGTGGGAACTTATTTTTAAAGTCTTTCTGCATTTGATGAGGAATGTCTTCAATATATTTTAAGACACATATATAATCTAGACACATATTTAAGACATATATGCATATATATATATATATATATATATAATGTAGGATGTAGCTACTTGGCTGTGCTCCCCCTCAGAATTACCTAAGTTAGAAAACATCACTTTAAAGATTGTCAAACATTAAAAATATGTATTAACAGATGACCTGAAAAAATTCTTGTGTATATATGAAGCCAACAAAAATAGAGCATATGTGGATACTTTTTAGTCTTTGAAATCAAAGCAATGTCATGTGTTAGAAAGATAAAACTTAACTTTTCTCAGATGAGATCAAGTTCATTATTGAGCCAAAACTTTTACCTGATTATCTAGAAATGTTAGACTTTCTTTTCTTATGTAACATCAATCAAGATTACATCATAGACATGTAAATTATAATTTGTCAATGATTCCACTTGGACAATCTTTATATAGATGATGGAATCATTAACATTAACCCGAATCTTAATTTTGTTTTAACATCTTTTACGCCATAACTATCTTGTCAAGGATGACCTTATTGATTTGTTTTTTCAGGTCACCAAAGAACAATTTAACTATAAGATTTAAAACGAGAGAAATTATGACCGCAATTATTCAGAATATTTTCTTATTGATTAAATGTTAAATGTTAGAATAAGTGAGTGTAGAGAGAATGATATCATTAACTAGTTGATAAATGAACACGGGGTCAATTTTATATTTGAGTGCAAAAGGGAAGATTCCTATCTTGTTCCTTGAATTTGTCCTGTGAAATGATGTATTTATAGACCAAGCAATGCAAAAAGCCTGGATATTACTTTTGTAACAATTTCCTTATAATTCGGAACGGCGCTCGCCCATCTCTCAGGACCGACTGACCCATGTTCAACTGCTGTTCACATGAAACCCTTCTCCACCATGCCAGAGGCTGTTCACCTTGGAGACCTGCTGCGGATATGGGTACGGCCCGGCGCGAGATTTACACCCTCTCCCCCGGATTTTCAAGGGCCAGCGAGAGCTCACCGGACGCCGCCGGAACCGCGACGCTTTCCAAGGCACGGGCCCCTCTCTCGGGGCGAACCCATTCCAGGGCGCCCTGCCCTTCACAAAGAAAAGGGAACTCTCCCCGGGGCTCCCGCCGG